AAACACACCTAAGAAGGCCCTTGCAACCAACAGCCCTGCGAAGCTGCTCACAAAGGCGCTGCATAGTGAGACGAAACCAAATCCACAGACGAGAAGTGGCAAGTAGTATTTCGGGCCAAGTCTCTTGAGAAGGATGTTGCTCGGTACTTCGACGAACATGTAGACAATGTAGAAGATGGAGGTAACCCAGTTGAAACGTACACCTGTGTTGAGACCCAATTCTTCTCCCATACCCTGGATACGCGCGTTTCCAACATTGACACTTTCCAGATGGTCAGCGAACAGCTTTGCGCAGAGTGAAATGATACGTACCGATCGAGGAAACAGAGCAGGTAAAGAAAGGTCGTGAGCGGCACAATCACGCGGTCCAGTTTACGTCGAACCTTCTTCTCTTCCTCAGCTGTCCAGGTAAACTCGCCGTCTGTAGATCGGTCGCTTCCATTGGCCTCCTCAACTAGCAAATCCGTTAGCACATGTTCGCGACAAGATTAGTAAACAACGTACAAAGCACATTGTCTCCCTTCTCCAGCTCAGCAGGGGTTGGGTGGTTTGGGTGTGTCCCCGTCGATACCATCCCTATTTGCGCCATCTTTTCCAAGTAGGATGCCGAATTCGAGATCTAAAGGATGCGAGGCGAAATCTCTTCGTTGTGTCGTGGCCCCACAAGTTCCGAAAGTCTGGGGAAAGGAATCTGGGGAAGAGCACAGCCCATATAAGAACGTACGATGCGTCCCGGTATCCGAACAAGCTTACTCGTCGCACGTCTGTGTCTTGGGTCGCAAGTCGAAAGCCAGGAAGAGGGAATCGGCAGTTACTTCGCAGCCTTCAGAGGATGGCAATACGGCACCATGTTTAGCTTGATGTCCGCTCCACCGCGCGCTCTTATCCCGTTCCAGCTGGCGGCTTGATTGAACAGGGAGCGAAGTCGGTGCGGAAATTTTACCGAGTCGACACAGAACCCTACATAACGCCGCATAATTATCAACGGCCTCCTCTTTGGTTGGCGTGTTGCGGGGCCGTTCTCTTGGCTGACATGGGTTGACTCGTGGAGCCCGCGAGGGTGACGGGCGGATGCTTTCATTGTGGTCATTTTGAAACGCCACGCTTGGCGAAGCGGGACGAGAACTTTGGGGTTGCTAGCAGCTCGCGATGCGTTTCGGCAGTTCTATTCATCTTCACAGTACTTCCTGATGGTGTTAACAAACTGTATTTATGGATTTCTTCTCCTCATAGATTGAACTGGGGTAACGGCGGATTGCGGTCAGATTACGGGCGTAATGTGTGACAGAAGATTTATCCACCGTGGACGAGTTTTGCTGCCGCACCAACAATGTGGGCGATTGACTGCTGCATATCAGCGCGGCAGGATTGCATACGGTCTACAGTATTCCAGACAACTGGGTATCCTTGCCGCCGAGGTCTAAAGTGATGCAACTGGCATCCTTCACAGATCATGATGTACCTTTGCAGCTCATGCAAACAATAACATGCCCGCAATTTAGCCGGAATCCTTCGTCGTCCGGTGGATTTTCTTGATTCTTTTGTGCCTTTCTGAGCAACAAAACGCAGAAATCCACCGACGCGTACTCGCAAGTAAAACCTCTAGAGGTTCTCAGCGAGTGGAGTGTGTGGTAGGGTCCATCAAAGTGGGCCAGTCTCGTATCTGGACTGTTCCGGTTCGGTCTAGCCGTATAGTGGCTGCGAATTATGGCTTGCATCAACGCAGAATGCAAAAGCTTTGGGAAGTCGAAAGACGCGACTCGGTGGCCGAAGATGGCTGTCAGTGCTGCGAAGTAGGACGGGCGCCGGCGTCGGGGAACAGGACGCTCTTGCCAGACTGTCGCGCCACGTGGCTGAGATACTGAGCTTCACAATATTGCGAGTTCCATAAATACATACTGACCTACAAAAGATCGAACATTTCATATTCGACAAGGATTCGCAATTACAGTATTCAAAGCGCCGATCATCTCCATAGCCTCATCTTCAGAGCCTCAACTTCTCGAAGCGCTGTATCAACGACCCACGACTCCACAAATCATCGCGTCAAGGGCCACTTCCCCTCACAAATCCATGAAATTCCACAGTAGCATACGGGAACGGATGTCCTTTCTCGGCAACGCTACCTTTGGCGTCTCGCCTTCGTCTCCACCAACTCCTTCATCACGTCTCTAATATCATTAGGTCTTACCGGCGCGTCATCCAGATCCACCTTCGAAGCTGATGATACTATAGATGCCTGGGCTTTGGCGGCTTGGGTGGCTGCCCCGGCTTTCTTCTCGGTAGCTGATCGAACACGGCAGTCGTCTTAAGGGCGGGTTTGTTCCCGCGATCATCCTCGGTTTCGGCTATTCGATCATGTGACCACTCTTGGACATCGCCTTCAGCAACTTAGACTCCAAAACGATCAGCTTCGTGGTGATCGAATACAGGTCGAGAGTTCTGCGCACCGTTCTCAGAGAGAGCTGTTTGCAACTCTTCTCGAAGCTCCAAAATGGCGATTTCCAATGCCATATTTTGGTCGTCCATTTGTCGGACGAACTCAGCTTGCTCTACCGCCAAGATGTCAAGCTGAGCATCTACTTCTTCGGTATGGCGCTGACCATCTGACAGTAGCTCTTCCAGAGGTGCTTTAACCTCATCTTCAACCAAATCCAGGCTATCTGCAAGCTCATCTCTCTCTCTTCTTCTAGCGCGTCCACCCGTTCCCTCGACTCATGCACTGTGTCTGTCTCAGCAGCGTGAGATCTAGTTAATCGCGCGAACGCTTCATCGCGATTAGCTTCCTCTTGATCTAGACATTCTCCGCAGTTTTCGTCCCTGTCGTTCTCGAGCTTTCTCCAAACAGATCGGTGATTGGCAGCTTCTGCGGTTTTGGCAGTGGCACGGGACCATGTCGTTAGATCTTGATGCCCGCAAGCGAATGTTGTCTCGAGATCGACGTGAACACAGATGTCCGCTGTTGCTACCTTTAAGTCCTGTTCACGCTCCGCTTTCCGTTGCTGGAGCATCTTAGCAGATACATTCCCATCATCTCGAGCCTTCTGTTTCTCTTCGTTACGTTCGCGACGGAAGCGATTGATGAGTTCCGTTACACAGGGTCTGCAGTCGTACTGACTTCTCCTACTATGGTCTGCAGTCTTTTTGCAACTCCTCTCCCCACAGGGGAGGTTGCTCTTGCTCTCGTGGCCACAGTCGTACGTAATTATGAGATTGGTACACATGACGGACAATATGATTTTGGGGTAGCGGTATCCGGCGATCTCAGTCTGCGATTAAGATATGGGTGACGGACACGACTCTCGTATAGATTTTGCGCATCTACGCTACAACCTTGGAATGATCAACGACGTGTCACTCAGAGAGTCTTCAACAGCTTCAACCTTGCCATGTGAGCCAAATCGTCACATTGGCCAAAATGTGTCACATTGGTAAATGCTTCACAAAGGCAACTACTTACAAAATCATTACATTCGGCACACGATTCCTGTTTTCCCCAGAAAACGCCGTCCACTACCTGCATCCTGTCATCGCCAAACACCCAATCTACTTGTCTGCTCCCCTTTATCACGCTAGCCCAGGATGTGCACAACATATCGCGTATACTTCTACTGCGGACACCTAAAGTCTACGACCACTCACGACCACTCTGGCATCGAGTGCACAATCAACGAGGCGAAGAGCATCACAGTCGACGAAAAGTGCAAGCGCTGCGTCCAACGAACATCTCGAAAGAATGTCCGACTCGGCGATATCATGAACGGTGCGGAAGTACCATCGATAGTAAAAGGCGAGGAGAGTGGTGCCCATAGTGGCGACAGCGAGCGATGAAGGGAGGTTCAGAAGACTGGGTGCTCTCAGTAGTTAACTTCACTATCATCGAACCATCATGAACAACACAGAGAGCAAGAAAACACATAATTCGATTTCTGGATTGGTATCAAACTAGTATACGCATACGATGACACCGCCCTCTATGCGGTGGTCTACGCTCACAGGTTCGTTATGAAAGTCGTAGCATCGCTGAAATACAACGTACTCAAATCTCGCGTTGCGTCCAATGCATGCCAACGTGATGACCTAGTGAAGCGCTTTTACGGGTATGGGAGTAGCCTATAGTCCAAGTTGTAGTCACATAAGCCCAGCGTATAGTTCTCCCTGGTCTCTTCAGCTCGTCCCAAGCATCACAGCACCCTATATGGCAGACATCACCGTACCTGTCAGTCAAGTCTACGTCACCTACGCTCCCTTGGAAGATATCTGGAGAATTCCAATACCAGGCTGTGAGAAGAAAGTCTAGCCCCATCGCCTTATAGATTGCACGCGGCATTACTCGTGCCCGGCGAAGGCTCCATAGACAGCACCCCTCTTCTGGTGCTAGCCTTGTCGACGATGGACATAGAGCTCCCGAAAAAACGAACCTTATCGTCATGAGTGCTGCGACCGACATCTCGACTTGTGACTATCCGTTGTGCGAGGGCTCGACGAGATCGCGGTCGCTAATTGGCGATGGGTTGTCGGCACCCGAGGCGTGGACTAGAGATCGGTCTCTGCGCGAGGTGCTGGAGCGACTTCCGTATACGAGATATGTGCGACGAGGGCGCTATGCGTGACACAGTCTTCGGCGAAATGTTATGAATGGTATCGATGCGAGGAGAACGGGGCGGAGAGGAAGCTGTTGGACGCGTTCAGAACAGCTGATCCGAAGACGCGGCGGAATGAACATGGTCGGGGGGGGCATGTGAATATATGGCATGTCTGCTCCATGCTGAGCTACATCAGTGTAGACGACCTGCGGGTTGTGTAGGAAGCCTCGCAAGCTTCCAAGGTTGGGTTCCCAGCCGCGTTCCGATGCGCGGGTGTTGCCGGCTATAATCGATAAGTTCCGACGGAGATTCCGATCAACTCACCACGCCACCTCCACAAACGCTTGACTTCGAGACTTCACACCCCAGATCACATTCCACTCAAATCACGACGCGTCTTACTTGATAACCAACATGGCCAAAGTCGAAGGTGCTCCTGCTCATGGCGCTGTAGCCCACCTCCTACCACAAACATACAAGCGATTAGTCTCGGAATGGCTGGAAGAGGACACACCAAGTTTCGATTATGGTGGTTTCGTAGTGGGCGAGGAGCTGTCGGAAGCGAAGCTGCTCGGAAAGAGTGAAGTGAGTGCTTTCGACTACTGTAAGTGCCGACTAACATTGACAGGGCATAGTAGCAGGCGTCCCGTTCTTCGATGAAGTGTTCCGACAACTAGGTTGCACGTGCGTTCATCTCACCAGATTACATGATCAAGCTTAATATTGACAACTACTAGCGTGGAGTGGCACGTCGAAGAAGGCGCTTCATTCCAACCCATCACCCACTGCGCTACTGTGCGCGGCCCAGTCCGTCACCTCCTTCTCGGCGAGCGCGTGGCTCTCAACACCCTCGCCCGCTGCTCCGGCATCGCGACCAAGTCAAATCGCCTACTTACTCTTTTACGAGGAGCTGGTTACCCAAACATTCTTGCTGGTACCAGGAAGACTACACCAGGTTTTCGACTTGTGGAGAAGTACGGCATGCTGGTTGGGGGCGTGGACGCGCATCGAGTTGATCTTAGTGCAATGACGATGCTAAAAGACAATCACATCGTTGCCGCAGGAAGCATCACCAATGCAGTGAGAGCCGCCAAAGCAGCTGGCGGCTTTGCAATCAAAGTCGAAGTTGAATGCCAATCGTTTGATGAAGCAGACGAGGCGATTGCCGCTGGTGCTGACATCGTCATGTTAGACAACTTCACCCCAGAAGGTGTCCAAGTTGCTGCTAAGGATCTGAAGGATAAGTGGGGACGGGGTACTGGAGACAGGAAGCAATTCCTCGTTGAAGTGAGCGGTGGGCTTACAGAGTACAACGTGGAGAAGTACGTCTGCGGCGATATTGATATCGTGAGCACGAGTAGCATACACCAAGGGGTACCACACGTGGACTTCAGTCTGAAAATTGTACCGAAGAGTAAAAAGGATGGAGGAGAGAGTTTAGCGGTATAACCTGACGGTGGGCGAAGGGGACTTGTGGGTATCCCTAATGTATCGACAGACATAGCTAACTAATTCAGTATAGTTATTTACGATATGTGTCACCTTTCCGTGGCATGACTTTCACTATGATACCGATTCCCAGAACTGTCAAGCGTCCGATTCATGACCTCAGACACCTCAGACTCTTACTCTTCTAGCAAGCATAGCAAGGGGCTCAAGCAACCGCTATCCGCGCTGATCTACGACACGGCAACATCACTAATCAAAGCGCTCTTGTAGTCACTGTCTTCTAAAAAATTGTCCCACAATGCCAACATCGACTGCAATACGTGGCCCTCTATTCCTTCTGCTCGGGCGTCATCTAGCCGCTTTGCATCGCCTCCGCGGTCTGCGTCAAGCCTTTCCAACCAATCTTTCTCGTGGCTCTCGCGTACAAGTCCTTTGATCTTCGGCAGCCGGCTGGCCTGATCACCGGTAAGAGGGTCTAGGTCCGTTTCCCTGCATTCCAAGGTTGTATGGCCGTCGTCCCGGTCACGTCTGCTAGAACAACTCGCGCGTCCGCCGAATCTAAGCGATGGTCTCCACATACGCCTTGCTGCACCTTCAAATGCTTTCATCTGTCTGTTGCGCGTTCGAAAGCTTCTCCTCGATCGTGCCAGGCTGGTGTACACCATGAGAAGGCCGACCACGCTGGCTGGCAATGCCCTTTGCGCCCGGATATTCAACAAGCCAAGGTCATACGTTAGGATCAATTAAATCCCTAATTTTGTCCAGCAGTGGGTATGCAAAGCCGAGTAAAACATCGTTACTCTCTTGGGTTGCGTTGGCAAGCGCTGGCGACAAGTATAAAGTTACGCCCGACGCGGTCTTCAACTAGACCCCATAACGGTGGGTCTGGTTGTGGACCTGACAAGGCCGTGCCCAATGAGCGCCTTCCGCTTTCGCAGAAGGCTTCCGCGAGAGTTCAAGCATCAAAGCTCCCGGCCCTAAGCGAACTACGTTTGCTTCGCTCACCTTCCGTGTGCGCCGTAGACTAGGCACGAAGGAACGACGTCCTCTCGCCTCGAGCTCGTGTTGTAAATTGTTTTGCTTGTATCGCATGGAGCCAAACCGCTTTCTTTTCACCGCCATGTAGAGCTTCGAATCCTACATCGGGTACACCGAATGACAGAGCACGCATGCGCCCCATCTCGCATATCCATGGATGTCGAGGCGTGGAAAAGACAGGTACAAAAGGGTGAGCTGTAGGCACCCTCTTGGCATCACTATTCTCTCGTCCACAAACTTCAGCTTAATCAAGCCCTACAACATCATTGCTCTCCTCGCTTTTTCAATATGCAATACCTCAACACCATCCTCGCTTTCGCTGCTGCAGTGGCAGCTGTCGACATCAAGTCGCACGGCGAGTCACACTGCAAAGGTACCGAGAGGGTATATGTGAACGCCAAAACCAACCAGTGCTATGCCGGTGGCGGTATATCCTACGCTTGGTCGTTCAACGCTATTCCCACAAACTGGAACCTGCAGACTCGATCTCACAAGGACGGAAACTGCAAAACGCTAGTCCACGCCTGGAACTCGAATGGCGCACGTACGGTCTGCCATGGCGCAGCCGTCAACAACTTGTTGTATACAGGTGCTGGATACAGCTTTGCCAGCAAGAAGAGGTCGGAAGACACTGTTTTCAACAGTAAAGACTGCATCTGGAAGCCAGACCTTATGACTCTGGGAGACGGCACAACATACAAGCTTACAGATGTTGAGGACGAAACCGCGAAGATCATGTAAGAGCAACCCTAAGCACCAGACAAGGCCCTGGATATGATGTACTAATTTCATCTTCTCATAGACTCGCATATGGTGATAACACCACGATTGCCGAGAACATGCCAAGCCTATTCGACAAGTACGTTACACAAGAGCGTCGCTGAGTGTGCCATCAAGATTGGTTGTTGGTGATCTCTAGTGCGATGCCTTGGCTCAATAAATTCCATCCACTTCCTCCAATGCTACTGCGACGGCGCAGAGCAGACGCATTCACGACTTCCAAAGCTCACATCACACCTACTCAATCAGGACCCCCGAAAAGAGAAAGCGAGCAAATGATGAAATCCGGGAGAGGCTAGTCTCGCTATATATTGTTCGAATATCACACACAAAATGAACTAAATTGATGACCGCCCTACTCCGTCCCCACTACTTCCATGATCTCCATCTCTTATCTTTTGTGACACTTTGAGGATGACGATGGTATTGCTAATGATTCTCTCTGTATTTGAGTCATATCAGAGTGAAGATGGTAAACCCAACGAAATGTAATTCTCTTACCTTATACTATGGAATGCTCTCCCAACACCACGCCAACCGTCGTTCTCGTGGCACATTCACTTTCGCAACACCGTGCTGTTGTTGGCTTACAGCGCAATAAAGAAGCATCAAGAGTTTGGATAAGCGCTAGGTTATTGTGCAGCCGTGAACTCAATAGCAACAGCGTGGCATTGTGCTGGCGCACCTTCCGCCTTCCGACTTGGCATGACCAGTCCTTTCCGGATTACGCCAACCTTCCCACAATGTTGCATCACTGTATTATGGTCAATACAATTAACCTATAGGACAAAGTCATTTTCTCTCTCACACACTTCTCATCATTACCACAAACCTTTGCCGAACAACATACACAGGTACAAATATGCGCACGAAACTATCGTTTACTACGACCCTGGCGGCTCTGGCCATCCTAGGAGATGCGCACGGAGACCATGCTAACGACAGCAGGCAGTACACGCTAACAGACGATCTTAGCTACAAGAACTTCTTCTCCGCCTTTGACTTCTTCAACGAAACCGACCCAACCAAAGGCTTTGTCAATTATCAGAATCAGGAAGATGCGACCAAGCAGGGCCTAATAGGCTACCTTGAGGACACAAAGTCCGTGTTCATGGGTGTAGACTATACCACTAAAGACCCTACTGGCCGCGCTTCTGTTCGCCTTGAAAGCAAAAAGAACTGGAATCATGGACTACTCATCGCAGACATCCGCCATATGCCTTCGTCGGAATGTGGCACTTGGCCAGCATTTTGGCTCTTATCGTCTTCAGTGCAATGGCCGAATGGCGGGGAAGTCGATATCCTCGAGGGTGTTAACGACTACGAAAATAACTCTGTTACTTTGCACACAACCAAGGGCTGTGTTGTTGATAACTCGACTGCGGCTGGAGGAGGATTGGGTGCTGTAGGTGGTGATAACAATGCGCCATTTACTGGTCTTATGAGTACCGACGACTGCGACGTCGCCGCACCTGGCCAAGAGAAGAACGTCGGATGCTCTATCCACGCTCCTGACACCATGCCTGGTATCCAAAGTGGCGGCGGTAGCGGTAGTTCCGACAATACTGGCGCCGCGCCTCTCCCATCTTATGGTACCGAATTCAACAAAGCGCAGGGTGGTGTCTATGCCATTGAATGGGCCGCCACCAGCATCTCAGTTTGGTTCTTCCCCCGCGACTCCCCGGGCTTCACGGATAACTTCTCTTCGAACACCACGGCTCCTGATCCATCAACCTGGGGCACTCCTATAGCGCACTTCGGCGGTGCTGGCTGCGACTTCTCTGAGCGCTTCAAAGATCTTCAGATAATCTTTAACACCGCCTTTTGCGGCGAATGGGCTGGCGCCGAGTGGGATAAGTCTTGTGCCAAAAAGACCGGTGTTGCTACTTGCAATGAGTATGTACGCAATAATCCCCAAGCCTTTGTGGAGGCGTATTGGGAAGTGGCGGGATTGAAGTGGTTTCAGAAGGGTGCTGCGTAGAAGAGGAATACTATCATACCCTCCTTCTAAGCTTGTGCCAGTTACCCATGGTCTAGTCGTCGATGCCAATACGGAATATTGGTGATTCAATTGGTAAATTGACCATATGTTTATCAGCCGCATGGGCGGTGTATCGAAGCCGCGAGCTTGTCCTGTTTTCTATGTCTCTCAGCTTTTCGCGCAACTTTGGAAATATGATCTTGGCACATGACTCTCGAACGGCCGTTCATCCTGAGATAAATTCATCACCTTGGTTCCGCCGAGAAAAACCGATTGTTGCAGTGCATACCTAGGGTATGCCGTTTGAGCCGTGATAGTTGAAACGAGCGCTTCCCAATCGATCTAGCAGTGTAATGACTGATATTGATCATCATTCTTGATAACTTCTTCTATCGGGTTTTGACAAGCATACGTAGTGATACAACAGATGAAAAGCGTTGCAGTCGGTTGGAGATGGCTTCATCTCACGCGTCGCGGACGCGTCAAACCGCGGGATGGTCTAGCCGACACAGGTTAGAGTGGGAATCGTTTGTCTGCAGCACTTTTCGTCCACTTGTTGCATCTCACCGCAACATATTGCAACATCGAAGTCATCCCCTCCATGTCGGTATCTTCATCTGGTGCCTTCTCGAATTTCTATTCGGCAATATGGCTACTCAAAAACGATTAAATGATGCTGCACGTCTGACGCTACCAAAGACCGTGTTTACCCTGAGCAAACTACCAGAGTACGAGCTCCTTGACGCTTGTGCTTATGAGAATATACTAATTATGGATAGTCTAACTAGCGAAGTCGTTCAAGTGAGACTTGGACACTTTATTTACGACTACATTCAGCCTCCCGCACAGGCTGATCCATGTCAGAGCAAAATAGATGATTTCTTCTGCAAAATCCCCAAGACCGATAAAGCAGACAATGCCACTGGAAAGGTTGACTCGGCAAGTGATACGGAAGCCAAGAAGAACGAAGATATGTTCCACGTGCATAAGAACGTTTTGTGTAAAACGTCCGCATTCTTCCAGGCCGCTACAAAGCAGGTTTGGCGGGGCCGACCTCGAAAACCTATCGATCTTACCACGGAAAACGGAGAGGATTTTAAATGTTATGTACAATGGTTATACAGTGGCAGAATCGCGATAAGCTACAACCCAGATCCTTAGCAAAATGACTCAAACGGTTCATATCCCCCTTTGGACGATCTCATAGACCAGTACCCCTTAGGGGGTAGGATCATGGATCCAACTTACCAGAATTCTGTCATGAAGGTTTCCATAGACTGCATAACTACGGGACTCCGCTTCGATCGTGGAACCTACGCGATTCAGAAAGCGTACAAAGGCACTATGGCCGGTGATCCGATGCGAAAGCTGCTTTTGGATTTCTGGATTTGGACAGCGGATGAAACTTGGGACGTTTCTGATATCATTGAAGATGCGGGCAAAGAATTCACCCAGGAGTTGCTGGCTGCTTTGCTGGCGAAGCGCACACATCCTGGATGGTTTGGCAAAAATAGGCACATGAGGCCATGGACTGATCCTCAAACCCAAGGAGCGTATTACATCAAAATTCCTGATGGCAAGAAGAGCGTTACTGCATAGCGAGATATCGACACACACCGGTGGCAGGCTGCTACTAGATTCATATTATTCTCCGGTACCTAGATATCACGATCGCCTCACATCTTGTAGCCTACGGGTAGAACTGCGCAAAATTACACCGACTTATTTCCATTCAGTGCACGGATGAATCACCACGAGTACCCTGGTCCCGATCCGGCCGTAATCGCTTGCCCAAGGAGCAGCTACAACGCAGCCCTTCACTACGTACAAATGCGCAACGCTAATCCCAGAACCTGATTAGCGCCGGTGCGCTCTCACCTCAAGTTGTCACTTACCGTAGAACCCAACACCTCGCATTTGTTACGCCTCCAATCGACTACCAGAAGCTAGGCTCGTCAACCATGGCGCCCCCAAACGAGCAACCAGCGAAGCGCCGAAAGCTTCTGCCTCAGGGCAGTGCTGATTCTCGTGATCTCCTTGAGTAGGTTCAACATACAAATGGGTTTTGGAGCAATTCTAATGAGGTATAGTGTAGGTAGCGAGATACTCATTGTCAAGGTTGGGGGTGGTGACGACCCTGTCGAACCGAACGTAGCAGGCGAAAATTGCGACAAGCCCGAGCACAGCAACGAAAGTGACGACAGCGATACCGACTCAGACGTTTCCGAGGAGCGCATCTTTCACATCCACAAAGGTGTTCTCTGCAAGACGTCCGCTTTCTTCCGAAATGCAACGAAGCCAGAATGGACTGCTCCAACACCGCGCCCTATAGATCTTTCTGACGAGCGTCCGGATATCTTCTATTTGTATGTACAATGGTTGTACAATGGGAAAATCGCTGTCGAGACCATGTCCTCCAGTGACTCGGATGCGGAAGTTCGCAAACACGAGAACGTGAATTTTCATTCACTGATTCAGTCGTACATACTTGGCGAGAAGCTCATGGATACCACATTTCAGAACTCAGTCCTGAAATGTTTGATTGAGTGTGTAAAGCAAGAGGATAACTTCCCCAGCGACCTTACCGTTAAGTTGGCCTACGAGCGCACGACAAAACACTCGCCTCTTCGCAAATTGTTGGTCGACTTCTGGGTGTGGTACGGCTGCTCTGATTGGGCGGCCGATGACATGAATGAGGATCTGGGGACCGAATTCACGAATGACCTACTTAAGGCTGTGCTAAAAGTGCGGGCTGGCCCAGATGAGGAGAAAGACAGGGTCGAGCCTCCTTGGCTGGCACATCCAGAGACCTACAGCATAAAAGATAACATGGAGACAACCAAGGGTACCAGCAACAGCGGTGGTATAAAGGCTAGAGGGGAGTGTGTCAGCAAACGCTACTGATACTTGTCAAAGAAAGGATTGTGCGAGCCCTTTAGGATGCACTGTGTTAATAGGCTACTGCATAGAAAAGGAACTGTTGTATATTGCTGCAGCTTGAGGCTTTTGCTGGCTAGTTTGCACGCATATCGCAGGTCAGAGCAAGGGCATATAATTGATAATGAAACGAGAGTATCATCACTGACGGCTAGCATTTGCTCATAACTTCAGTGCCGTACTTCCTTTAGATCGTGTATCTGAATCTCGGGCTGTCATCGCCCATCTCTGCAACATCCTCATCACTCATCCCTTCAATGAGATGCTCTTCCTCACCCTTCTCACGTCTGGAGTTGATGCGCCCAAGATGGAACCACATGACAGCGTAGCATATACAAGCAAAAGCCACCATGGCCATAGTGATACCGTGGCCCTTGACGAAGCGGGGGCGATCAGCCGTGGGATAGATCTAGCGATCCGTTAGCAGTGTTTCCACGTGGAGCCTAGTGATTACGAATAAACTTACAAAAGCACTCATGATACCCGCACAATTACCGATGCTCAACTGCAACCCTGTCGCAGTGGTTCTCTTTCCATATCGCGGCAAGTTTGTAGGTAGCCAAGCTAATGGTAGACCAACGCACACATACAAGCCCATTGCGACAAGGAAGCAGCCAGCGTAATGCACGCCAGAGCTGGCGTCGCTGATCAGCATGGCGTATCCGACGATACTCACCACACCGAGCAAGATGCTATAAAACCCACGCTTTTGCTGTTTATCGGAGAAACGCGCTACAACCAAGTAGGTGATTGCACCTAGTGCATAACACGGAATCGTAAGGACCTGCACCATCGCGCTGCTGGCGGTAGTGTTGATTGACCTGATAATTGTCGGCAGGAAGGTAGAGTAGCCGTAAAGCATGGTATCGCTTCCGAATTGCGCAAAGCAGAATACCCAGACTTTCCAGTCCTTGACGCACTTCCTTACATCCTCCCAGTGAAATTCCGCTGCTTTCTTGGTGTACCCTGTCTGGCGCTTGAGGCGAGCGGCGGCGAAAGCCTTTTCTTCAGCGGTGAAGAAGTAGGCAGTTTCCGGGGTGTCCGGCAGGATGAACCAGGTCGCGATACCCAGGACGAAGGTAGGAATACCCTCGATGATCATGATCCAGCGCCATCCGCGTAGGCCAGCCGTACCATCCATATGTCCAATAGCGTACGCAAGTAGTCCGCCGCATGCTCCGGCCAGGGCAGCAGAGACGAAGAGGTATCCGATGCGTAGAGCAAGTTCGCGCTTGGTGTAGAAGAATGTCAAGTAAATGGCCATTCCGGGGAACAACCCTCCTTCCACGGCGCCAAGAAGAAGACGGCATGCAATTAGACCGCCGTAGCTCTGCACGATACCGGTCAAGGTCGCGATGATACCCCATGCGACAGTGATAAAGGCTATCCATCGCGAGGGCGTAAGTTTCTTCAGCACCAGATTCGATGGTACCTCGGACAGGATGTACGTGACGAACAGAATAGAGACGGCTGTCTGGAATTGAGAATCTCCCATATTTAGATCTTCTTGTAGACCATATAGACGGGCATTACCGATGTTGACCCTGCAATCGCGTAAGCAAGTTCCTCGTGCAAACTGCTGCAGACTCCCAATTGCATCCAGCCCGGATAGACGGCGCATTAATTAAAAAGATCCAAACTCACCTGTCCAGAAAACTGAGCAAGTACAACAGCATTACCACCGGAATGACGAAAAGATCCAGCTTGCGCACAATCTTCGCTTCCAAAACGGGGTCAATGCCTTCTAGCTGCCTGCCAATCTCATCGCTCTCCTTCGCGGCATCAGGCACAGCCGGGTCGTACTGTTTCTCGATGTCGCTCATGGTATCGTCAGGCGTCCTCGCCTAATAGTGGCTCGGAGAATTAAGCAACAATGATGATCGATGACTCCACGTGAGGAAAAACGGTTGTCGCGTTAAAAACGCAAGATTGCGGCAAATGCGTCAGGAAGGGGTGGTGAAGAAAAGAGCAGCGAGCGTCGCGTTCTTAATGCATCCGGCCGAAATACTGATCCGTCATCACGTAGCAACTCCACGACTTTGCCACGGAAGGGAAATGCTCATGCTTTAAATTCGTCGACGGCCTACGGCTTCGACATCGGACGAGTCTGCAAGGGGCCCACTCTGAACATGTCGCCCGCGGGCAGATCCATGGCGGGGGGCTGGAGCCAATGGAGCACCGAGCTAACGGTTTGTGGTATGACGTTGACGGCTACCCTGCCAGTAACACAGATACGACTGCTGGACAACTGATAACGAACCACACGCGTCGCTGTGGCCTATTGTCTGCCAATGTTCCAAGGTTGGGGGAGATATCAGACAAAGGATGGGGGTGCTCGCGTGCCCTTTTGAGAGAAGTGGTGGGGACAGGCATCCGGTGTGGTTTGACATGTTCGTCGCGTTAGTCCGCTGTCATGCATCGCTTAGGCAATGCGATTAGTCCTGTCTGACCAAACAATTGCTCCAACAGGACTTGGAGACGCGATTGCATCACATCACACTTTGTTGTGCAGATCAGCGCTGATCCTGAACGTGTTCCACAACACGAGCTAATCACTAATTGATACCATTTGAGTGGGGATTGCCATTCTCAAGCAGACAGACGCCCTCATACCAACTCAGACGATGTCAGCGACGGATAACTAAAGGGCGTCGTATCCCAATCGATAGGCAGTACGATGCCAGAGTATATGTCGATCTGCGCTGAGGGATCAACAGGCCATCCCAGGTCGTCGCGCGGAAAGTCGATCTCAGCCACTGCAGGTTCCGTATCCACGCTCACGGTATGCTGGACGCAGGTACCGGCAAGACTTGACCGTGCAATCGCACGAACCTCCTTTGCCATTTTCATTCCGAGTGGCCATATAGTTCCCATCGTGTTCAGAAAGCCGATGCTGAGACGCACACGATCTCGCGCTATCGACAGCGCGTGTCCATCCAATAGATAGGTGCATACAGACACTTGTGCTGCCGCGAGTTGCGCGGTTAGGCACATGATAAAAACATTGTGCTTTTCGAGAGCGCATGGGATTGCGAGGAGTTTGGTATGCATTTCGGTCGCCTTGAGCACACGTGCGGTATGTGTGTTTCGCCCAGCTCTTGGTGTCAGCGTAAAGGGAGAGGGAGGTAGAAAAGACTGCGTGGTCATCTCTCGAGGAAGGTGAGCTAGTGATGAGAAGGGCCTATGCAGTGTTGAGATTACTCTGTCCTTGTTAGTATGACAGTAGCAGTGCATGGAGGAACGAATTACATCGCAGCACACATATGTGCCATGTACCTGTTGCACGTATGATTAGCGATCATGTTTTCGTCCGGCTGACGGTGTGGCATACATCACCTCATCTACTTGGCCATCGGGTCGAAGCGGGTCCTTCTTACAAGCTGGTAGCATCGCCGACCAGATCGCCAATTTCATGTCGCAGTTCTCGGTCATCGTTTCGCTAAATGTAGCAGTGTCGATAAAGGACTTCATGGCTGGAACTGTTAGACACCATTCGAAGTAGATAATGGCTCTCATTGAGTACGTCCGCCTGTGGTCTGTACTTACTGCAAGCGATGATCATTCCGATATCATAAAGATATACGATTGAAGAGTAAACGATCTCAATCTCTGCGAATTCACGGGCCTGGTACTCAGCCCAAGTCATCAAAGGCGGGATGTTC